GCTGGGCACCAAGGTCGTGGCTGAAGCAATGACCACCAACAGTGTGACCTATGAGCTGAACTTGGAGGCCAACAACATGGGCGACGCCGGCGCTCAGGCCCTTGCCGAGTCGCTCAAGATCAATCGCAGCTTGAGGATACTTTCGCTCTGGATGAACAACATCGGCGCTGCTGGCGCTGAGGCACTTGGAGAGTCGCTCAAGATCAATCGCAGCTTGAGGATACTTTCGCTCCAGAGCAACAACACCGGCGCTGCTGGCGCTGAGGCACTTGGAGAGTCGCTCAAAATCAATACCACTTTGGAGGACCTTGAACTTGATCACAACAATATCAGCGATGCCGGCGCTGAGGCACTTGCAGAGTCGCTCAAGACCAATAGCAGTTTGAAGAACCTGCACCTCGATTGCAACAACATCGGCGCTGCAGGCGCTCAGGCCTTGGCGGCCGGGCTGCTGCAAAATCGTGGTCTAAGGAGACTTGCGCTCAGCAACGGCTGCGGGGGCGATGAGGGCCGCCAGGCCCTGGAGGATGCGGAGAAGACGAAGAGGCGACGAGGTGAGGACTTCCAGATCTCTTGGCGTTGAGAAGATGGCCTGGCGGAATCAAAAAGGCGCATCCAACAGGGCGAACGAAATTTGGTGTGATTGATTTCAAGCAGTGGAAGGATTTTCATTCCCCGCGCACTTGGGATTTGGGGATGGCGGTTTGTTTGAAAAATTGAGAAGCACGATTTTAAAAAACATTCAAATCCAATGGTTGACTATCATGTCCAATGTGTGACCCAATATAGTCCTTTCCTCTTATTCCTAAAACTGTCCCCCAAATAACAAGTAATAATACACCTCTGACCGATTTGTTCATGTGGCAGTATTTTGGAATTGAATAGAGGTAACCCCGGAACACCCCAGTGAAAAAGATAGAAAATCCCAACTCCGCCCTCGCAGAAGCTCGAGCAGAAGTTCTGCCTCCGAGCGTTCAGCTCAGGGCGTCAGGCTCTCAGAGGGACCAGTGTCTTCGAATTCTATATAATTTCTATAATTGTTATTAGGGGTTTTTGAGTTTTTTTGAGTACAGTAAGGGGGAAGGGATTAAACTGTTTTTTTTGGGTACTCGTCCCCAATTTTGAGACAAACTTAGTGGGGTGTGGTGATGAAACCAATTGTTGCACAGCCGAGAGTAGGATCAGGTTTTGTTTTGTCGAAACCTCATCCACCAGTCTGAGGAGTCATGCGGAATTTCAAGGGAATTTCAAGGATGGATGGACCAAAGTTGTTCTTGTTTGGGCATACTTCGATGCAACCCCACTTTCACGTCCTTTTGCCACTTGTCCGCCTCAAGAAGATGGAGGCACAATAGGCGAACAAAAGCCACGGTTCAGTCAATGGGATTTTCCAGCACACCACACTGGGGCGATGGACATTATTCAGTATTGGACAAAGGGTTGGGCCTGGACGAGATCGACAGCTGTCGAAACAAGTAGATTCAGACACCCGATCCAATACATCGCACTGGGGTGACTGACATTGTTGTGACATACACAATGTCAGAAGAACTGGACAAAGGGTCCTGGATGTAGATCCTGTTGCTTCGTAGAAGGATTCACGATCATTGAGCCTTTGCTCACATAGTCTGTCCTGTCTGTGTAATTTTCCCCTGTCGTGGATATCTGGTGTCCTTTGCATTGTCTCGTGAGATGGGCCCCTGACATTTATAGTGGTCGCCAGGAAATGCGTAACTCACCTTGTGGAGCTTGGGATGTTTGGATCACCAGTGCTGGCCTAAGATTCTGGTGTGAAGATGGCTCCTAAGTTGATCCAAGTGCGAGATCAGTTCGGGGGACAGTTACCTTCCGATTTTGAGATGCGACGTGTTCCTTTTTTCATTTTTTCATGGGTCGTTTGAAATCACTTGGGTCCCGGGATCCTCGAGGTTCGCGGAAACAAGTTTCGACATGGCGAGCAGCCAGAACCAGGTGCATTGCCAAGTCACAGTCCGAGCTTTGCTGACGCCAACAGAGGCATCCAATCTGAAAGTCTATCAGCAAGATCTGATTTTTTGTTTTGAATTTCGAATTCCAATGGTCCTCCAATTAAGATGGGCTGGAAACCTGGAAATCATGTTCTGAAAGGCTCCGGGAGACTTTTCAGCTATTCCCATCCCCTGGCCCCGGTAGATGATTTGGAGCAAGTGACAAACTCATTTGCCAGGTGAGTGCGTCCAGGGTGCGGCGACCATCAGAGATAAGGTGCAGCTGACCATTGATGGCCGGAGTTTCTCCCGAAATTTGGAGGAAGACAGGGAACAGATCAACAGCCCAACAGCCATTTTTGTCTAAATTCATCATCTAAAATCTCAAAATCTGCTACATTTGCACAGAACACGTCTCCCAAAAACTGGAACATATTTCATTGGATGATTTTCTTTGTCGGCTCAAGTCTCCAACTCAAACACGCCAAGCTACAGGGAGCCATGCAGATGATTCTCCTGTCCGTGATTTGTGTCGCTTCCTCTGTCTCTGGTTTCACATTGGAGATGCCGGAACTACCAGATCTTCGCGGTCGAAGACTTGAAATACCCTCCTTCTCAAGACTTTCACAGTCAGCCAGCTCCTTTGTGGCCAGATCTTCTTGGCACCGCGGGAAAAGTCTTTGGTGGAAATTTCACATTGAAAATGGTGGACGAACCAAAGGCAACCAAAGGTGTTCCTGCCCAAGGTCTCGCAGATTGAGAGCATGACAGGAGAAGAAAGCATGGAACGCTTTCATTGGTTCTTTTGTGTCTACGTCTTGATTTTCCGTGGCGTTACGCTTCTGGGAAGTGTCATCGTGGTCCTCGGATTCGGCGGAGTCCTCTGAGCTGCCGCTCAAGACCAATGGCAGTTTGATGAACATCGGCGCTTTGAGGAACCTTCGCTCTGGCCTCGCCGGGCTGAAGACTTTTGCTCCAGGACAACATCGGCGACGCCGGGGCGGCGAGCACCGGCGTCGCCGATGCTGTTTTGATCGAGCCAAAGTTGGGTCAAACCCTGGAGGCGACAAAGGTTGCCAGGCCCTGGAGGATTCGGAGACGAAGAAAGAACGCGGTGAGGACGTCTGGATCTCGTGGTAGTGGTGAGAAGATGGCCTGGCGGAATCAAAAAGGTGCATCCAATCTTCATCCAACAGGGCGCGTTCAAGCAACGAAAAAGTGGATTTTCGGATTTTCCTTCCAGACATTCGGCACATTCGAGGCTTTTCGCATGGTGGATGACTTAGGGTACCCCCATGACTTTGGAATCTCATGGTGTTTTCGATTCAGTCGCTTCCAGGTTCGGATCTGATGGTGATGGTGGAGGCCAAATAGCTGCAGGCCCGTGGCCGGGATGGCGATGCTGGGGGGGTGGTTTGCTTCAAGAATTGAGGAAAAAACTAGGGGAAAAAACCCTTCGAATCCAATGGTTGATCAACGTGTCCCCCAATAGTGCCTCCCCCCTATGAAGCCCCGGAACTATTTTTCAATTTGGCGAGATTTAGGATATGGGGTCACCCCGATTACCTCTCTTGGTAAATTGAACGCCTTGAAAAAAGATAGAAAATCCCTGAAAAAACAGCTTTGCAGACATGGTGGAAAGGTTGCTCTGGCAAGGCGAATCCTATTCAAAGGAGGCTGAATCCACTACTTTTCAATTGGGCCCATTGAAAATCGCAATGAACCCAAACCGAAAAAAACCAAAGCTACCCACCATTTTCAGCAATAGGGGGACGGGATTGAAATGGTATTTTTTCGATACTCGTCCCAATTTTTAGACAAGCTTGTGGGGTGTGGTGATGAAACCAATTGTTGCACAGCCGAGAGTAGGATCAGTTTTTGTTTGGTCGAAGCTTCATCCGCCAGTCTGAGGAGTCGCTTGGAATTTCAAGGGAATTTCAAGGATGGATGGACCAAAGTTGTTCTTGTTTGGGCATACTTCGATGCAACCCCACTTTCACATCCTTTTGCCACTTGTCCGCCTCAAGAAGATGGAGGCACAATAGGCGAACAAAAACCAAGGTTCAGAAACCGAATCCATGGTGATTTAATGGGATTTCAGGGTGATATATATATATAATATATATTGTACGTACAATGTAACGATACATATATATATATGTATACGAATTGATTATGAAATATGACAATTGCAACGTGATGCGTTGTTCTCCTTTGGGCACCCTGGAGGGGGATCTCTCTATCGCTATCTCTTTTTGCTCGCAGGTATGTTGCCTCGTGGACAACAACAAATAGCAGGCCATAAGCCACAAATGGAACGCTTTGGGTATTTCTCTGCACAGTGTAGCCACACATGGCCATGAATGTTGCATGGACCAAGATGGCAGAAGAGGTCAACATTTATCAGGAGCACAGCAGCAGAGCTTCGGATCGATGGGATTACTGTGCATGTGATTTCATATCGATTGAGTATGAGTATGAGTCGAAGTATTTGTAGATATCCGTGATGATATTCTGCACAATATTTACGCTCACTTGAATTACATGTGATCACTTTAGTTACATGTGCTTGAATTTCGATGAAGTATGACGTAGATTCATGACAGTCTTGATGATTAAGATAATCAAGTTTTGAATCTTTTGGGCCATTTTGGGGATCTGCATGAAACTTGTGAGGCCCGGCAGCCTCTTCCAGTCAGCCCACAGCGCAGCCTCCCCTTTCATCGAAGGTGTGTTTCGCAAGCAGCAGCTCGGCACAAATCAGGTGGCAGCTTGTGACATACAGTGGCTTCAAGGTGTTGGAAGGTGTTTGGATGTCGCCGGATGTGTTCGGATGGCTCGGGTTGTCTCGAGGTGTGTCGGTGGGGATTGTTGAGGAGTCCTGGCAAGTCTAGATTTTTTTAGGAAGGCATGATCCTTTCAAGGTTCTGCAATCTTGCATATCTTGCATCTCACAATAAAGTTCTTGTCATCTTGGGCGATGGGGAACCCCACGAAAGAGACTTAAACTTCTGAACCCGCAGAACATGAACACTTCTCAAGCGGTAGAGAGCTACAGCTATAGGTAGAAAAGGGCCAGTTTTATGCTGTCGTGCTGCGCAGCTCCGGACACGTCAGCGGCCGAGATGCTTTCCGAAGAAGAATTTCTTCGAAAGGAAGAACAGTTGCTCGAAGAGGAGATCCGGGCCATGGGGATGGTCCACATCTTGGGCGACCACCGCATCGATATGGGCGAAGCCTTGAAGACAGATCCAGCTTTGAGGCCACTGACGGAGGCCGAACTGGATGCCTTGGTAGAGGCCGAGATTGCCAGAAGTGGTGGACTCGAAGAGCCCGACTGGGGCGCCATGCCATGGATGGATGAGGGCATGGAGCCCTTCCCGAACCAACAGCCGATCCCCGCAGCGCCTGCAGTGCCAGAAGATGCGCCAGTGGTGAAGGCTGTGCTGGTAGCACCGACATACCAAAGCAGCAAGCACAGCATGCCCATGCTGGGCAACCTGGAAGTTCTCCTTGGATCTGTTGGGGCCTTGGAGGACATCCTGGTTGCATTGCAGCATGCAAAAGTCAGGACTCCAGAGCTGAAGATCTTGACGGATGCCAAGAAGTCCGGCGGCTGGCCTGTGGCACATGAGGCACCCACCCGGAAGAACATCCTGAAGTCCATGCAGTGGCTGGTGCAAGATGCCAAGTCCGGAGACAATCTGCTTTTCTTCTTTGCAGGCCATGCTGGACAGTTCCGAGACATGGATGGTGATGAAGAGGATGGTAAGGATGAGCACATTTGTCCCGTGATTCAGGGTCAACATCCCAAGTTCGCTGCTGCATTCGATGGCTCCTTGGAGAAAGAAGAAGCTGACGACCTGACGGGTCGTGGGATCAGCGACGATGAGATTTTCGATACGATGTTGAAAGATCTGCCCGAGGGAGTGCGCATCACCACTATCTTTGATGCTTGTCATAGTCAAACCATGGCAGATTTGGCACATTCCTATGAGGTGCGGGTGGAAGCGGACGAGATGGCGCGTGCCAAACGACAGGAACCACCACCCCCTGGTTTCAACTTTGACAAACGTCCTTTGACGGTTTGTAAGGTGAAAGGCAAACCATGTGCAGCCAGTGTCCTGTGCCTTGCAGGCTGCAAGGACCGTGAGACTCAACAAACATGGTGTGACCAGAGCGGTCCAGGAATGCGGGGAGCCTTCTTTCTCACCAACATGTTGGCCAAGGCAATCGCTGGCATGCGCACTCCAAACCCCACTTATGCCGATGTCTTGCGGGAGATCACGCGAGATTTCTACCGGGGGAACAGGCTCAACATGAGCATTCCCAGTTTCTCCACCTCATCCGCGGTTGACCTGGATGCAAAGCCTTTCAGTCTAGTGGGACCACTCTGACTCTGAGCGTGGCTATTGCAGCTTCCCATGATCAAAGGTCAAAGGAGAAGGTTGCCAGTTTCACCCATTTGCTCGCAAGCCAGTGATGAGATAATGGTAAAATGTAACGATGCGAATGATGATCATGGTGTTCTCAAAGCTCCCTAGCTTTAAGCATCTCGATTGGAGATTTAGCGATTGCCCCAGTTTTTGAGCCGGAAGTGATTCTCTAGACTCTACTTGGTGGCTCATCCCACATAGTAAGTGGGTTATAACCCTAGTTATCAATGGGATTTTTGTAGGGTATTCATCCACTTATAACTGGGGTTATAACCCACTTGCGAGCCGTGGGTAGTTCGCCACCAAGTAGGCCCTGGCGCGAAATATCGATTCATGGGGCCGCGGCCGTGTCGACATGGCCTGGCTGCCCCGACCTCCGACGCTACCGGAGCTGCAAAAAAAAACCCTTTGGGGGGCACCATGTGGCACCAAAATAGCGCGGAAAGTTTGGATGGTTACCCTCTGGTAAACATACAAAAAACTATGGAAAATCACCATTTTTAATGGGAAAATCCACTATTTCTATGGTCATTTTCAATAGCTATGTTAAATTACCAGAGGGTACCTCACAGCATCGAACATGCACGGGTGAATAAATGACATGGACATGATGTGACATAGTTAATCATTGCTAATCATAATTACATAAGAATCATGAGGCCATATTGTCTACCCCTGCATACAGCGTCCTTGCATAGCATGAGTCATCATGCATTTCGCGTCATGGTCCGTATCATACACACACACACACATCACATATCTATGATTCCGCTGTCGCACGCCGCTGTCGCAGAAGTCTTTCAGCCGATTCGAAACTGAGGCTTGCCCTGAGTCCAGTTGCTTCCCGACACTGATCTGAATTGTTGGATCGTACTTGTAGGTGATCTTCTGTGGTTACTTTAGGGGATCTTACGTGATCATAGGTCAATACTTACCGGTGGTCTTGTATGTCAGTCGCAGAGTCATAAGGAGTCATACGGAATGATAAGGATTCATACACGGTCATAAAGAATCACACAAAGTCGCACAGAATCATAGAGAGTCATACAGAAAATGGCTGCAGACAGCGGACGATGTCAGAGAATCAGAGGTCCATAGCACGACCATCACCTTGACATACCTTGACCAAGACCTTTATCTTGACCGTTGGACAAGGCACGCCTCCGGTGGACAAGGACATCCATGAAATCAGCTGGATCCTCTGAGGGCTGGCTGGACGGATGGCCGAGACTGGGGTGTCTTGGTCAAGAATGGTAGCAGACCCGTTGCAACAGGTAGCGGCAACAGGTAGCAGATGTAGCAGGCGTCACTTGCCATTCTTTCAATCGCAGGCGATTTCAAATGATTTTGTGAGTTGTTCAAATCGGATCCGATCAGCATTTCATGACATTTCATTGCATTGTTGGTCGCCAAATGTAGCCAATGGTAGCCACCTTCGTCCCCTTCATCCGCAAAGTTTTGGAAGACCTGTGTAGAAGACCTGCGTCCCTTGGCGATTGGCTGTGGCCACCCATGGTGGCACCGGCGGCGCCGGTGGCACCGATTGTTGATATGCCATCATTATGACCGTTTACTTGCATGATAGCTTATGATTGATTTTGATAGCTTATGATTGATTTTGATAGCTTATGATTGATTTTGATAGATGATGATTGATTTTGATAGCTTATGATTGATTTTGATAGCTTATGATTGATTATGATAGCTTATGATTGATTTTGATAGATGATGATTGATTTTGATAGATGATGATTGATTTTGATAGCTTATGATTGATTTTGATAGCTTATGATTGATTTTGATAGCTTATGATTGATTTTGATAGATGATGATTGATGATTTGATTGATTTTGATAGATGATTGATTTTGATAGCTTATGATTGATTTTGATAGATGATGATTGATTTTGATAGCTTATGATTGATTATGATAGCTTATGATTGATTTTGATAGATTGATGATTGATTATGATAGCTTATGATTGATTTTGATAGATGATGATTGATTTTGATAGATGATGATTGATTTGATAGATGATGATTGATTTTGATAGCTTATGATTGATTTTGATAGATGATGATTGATTTTGATAGCTTATGATTGATTTTGATAGATTATGATTGATTTTGATAGCTTATGATTGATTTTGATAGATGATGATTGATTTTGATAGCTTATGATTGATTTTGATAGCTTATGATTGATTTCGATAGATGATGATTGATTTTGATAGATTATGATTGATTTTGATAGCTTATGATTGATTTTGATGATAGATTATGATAGATTATGATAGCTTATCATTGATTATGATAGATTATGATAGATTTGATAGCTTATGATTGATTTTGATAGATTATGATTGATTTTTATAGATTATGATTGATTTCGATAGATTATGATGATGATTATTGATTATGATAGCTTATGATTGATTTTGATAGATTATGATAGCTTATGATTGATTTTGATAGATTATGATTGATTTCGATAGATTATGATTGATTATGATAGATTATGATAGATTATGGTAGATTATGATTGATTTTGATATATTATGATTGATTTCGATAGATTGTGATTGATTATGGTAGATTATGATAGATTATGATAGCTTATGATATGATTATGATAGCTTGATGATGATTTTGATAGATTATGATAGATTATGATAGATTATGATGATTGATTTTGATAGCTTATGATTGATTATGATTGATCTATGATTGATTTTGATAGATTATGATTGATTTTGATAGCTTATGATTGATTTTGATAGATGATTGATTTTGATAGATGATGATTGATTTTGATAGATGAGATTATGATGATTATGATTGATTTTGATAGCTTATGATTGATTTTGATTATGATTGATTTTGATAGCGATAGATGATGATTGATTTTGATTGATTTATGATTGATTTTGATAGCTTATGATTGATTGATTTTGATAGATTGATGATTTGATTTTGATAGCTTATGATTTGATGATAGATATTATGATTGATTTTGATAGATTATGATTGATTTTGATAGATAGATGATGATATGATTTTGATAGCTTATGATTGATTTTGATAGATTATGATTGATTTTGATAGATTATGATTGATTTTGATAGATTATGATTGATTTTGATAGATTATGATTGATTTTGATAGATTATGATTGATTTTGATAGATTATGATAGATTTGATAGCTTATGATTGATTTTGATAGATTATGATTGATTTTGATAGATTATGATTGATTTTGATAGATTATGATTGATTTTGATAGATTATGATTGATTTTGATAGATTATGATTGATTTTTAGATATGATTGATTTTGATAGATTATGATTGATTTTAGCGTATGAGATTATGATAGATTATGATAGATTATGGTAGATTATGATTATTTTGATGATTGATTTCGATAGATTGTGATTGATTATGGTAGATATGATTGATTTTGATAGCTAGATATGATAGCTTATGATTGATTTTGATAGCTTATGATTGATCATGATAGATTATGATAGATTATGATAGATTATGATAGATTATGATAGCTTATGATTGATTTTGATAGATTATGATAGCTTATGATTGATTTTGATAGATTATGATTGATTTTGATAGATTATGATTGATTTTGATAGCTTATGATTGATTTTGATAGCTTATGATTGATTTTGATAGATGATGATTGATTTTGATAGCTTATGATTGATTATGATAGATTATGATTGATTTTGATAGATTATGATTGATTTTGATAGATTATGATTGATTTTGATAGATTATGATTGATTTTGATAGATTATGATTGATTTTGATAATTATGATTGATTTCGATAGCTTATGATTGATTATGATAGATTATGATTGATTTTGATAGCTTATGATTGATTTTGATAGATTATGATTGATTTTGATAGCTTATGATTGATTTTGATAGATTATGATTGATTTCGATAGATTATGATAGCTTATGATTGATTTTGATAGATTATGATAGATTATGGTAGCTTATGATTGATTATGATAGATTATGATTGACTATGATTGATTTTGATAGCTTATGATTGATTATGATAGATTATGATAGCTTATGATTGATTATGATAGGTTATGATAGCTTATGATAGATTATGATAGATTATGATAGATTATGGTATTTATTTTGATAGATTATGATTGATTTCGATAGATTGTGATTGATTTTGGTAGATTATGATAGATTATGATAGCTTATGATAGATTATGATAGCTTATGATAGCTTATGATTGATTTTGATAGCTTATGATTGATCATGATAGATTATGATAGATTATGATAGATTATGATAGATTATGATAGATTATGATAGCTTATGATTGATTTTGATAGATTATGATAGCTTATGATTGATTTTTATAGATTATGATTGATTTCGATAGATTATGATTGATTATGATAGATTATGATAGATTTTGATAGCTTATGATTGATTTTGATAGATTATGATTGATTTCGATAGATTATGATTGATTTTGATAGATTATGATTGATTTCGATAGATTATGATTGATTATGATAGCTTATGATAGATTATGATAGATTATGATTGATTTCGATCGATTATGATAGATTATGATCGATTCCATAGATGATAGATAGATTCTGATAGATTCTGACGATGGTAGCAGCATGGCACTGACATCGACTCAGGACATCGGATGATTTCCCTGGAGAAAAATTGCATTCCTTGGTGGCTTTTCCTTAGTTGACTAAATGTCGAGTCTCCTGTAGATGGTTTTGGAGTCGTTAAAAAATGATGTTTTATAATTTTATTATGTATTACCCTCTGGTTATTTAACAGTGCGCCATGGTATAGATGGCCCATAGAAATAGATGGTTTAGCTATTAATAGCACGGTGATTTTCCATGGCTATGTTAAATAACTATGATTCATGATGTATTAATATGTATGACATGTCTTGCGATTCCATCTTACTTTGAGTCATTTCATTGTGGTTTTGGATGACTTCCATGGAGCTTCGATGGATGTGCTTATGATATTTGAATGGCGACTGAGAACCTTGAAGAACCTGGTAATATCTGGTAATCATCATTCAGATTCATACAGCTACAGCTTCATTGACTTTTAATATGTATCAACTGTTCAATGGTTTTTTTTGGGAACCTGGTAGTTATTGCTTAGAAACTTTGACTCGTAGTGTGCCAAACCCATCATCACCCTGATATTTTGGGGTAGCTGTTGTTTTTTCTCTTTCGGGCTTGAGCGCTTCTGGGATTCGACGCATAGTACTGACTGTGATTTGAAGGTGTTGATTTGAACAAATTTGGGTATAGGTCAATACCTATAGATACATTTTTAGTGAGATGAACATCCATAAATCCCAGCTATTTTGGGGTGAACAGAAGGTACCAGGGTTTTGACCCATCCCCATTTGAACCGTGCCTTCATGGCCTTTGAAGATCTTTGAAGCGGTTTTAGTTTCATGAGATGCTGAGGTGCTGTGGAGGTGTGGAACGCTTGGAAACCATCCACAAAGCTGGTGACAAAGCCAGGCACGGAATCAGTTCCTATGTAACCAACAGACCGGTCATGTAACATCCCAGACACCCAAAGAACTTGTCTAGGGATGCGGTAAATGGAGGTTTCCGGAAATACATCATCCAATTTTTAATAGGATTTTCCATTCTAAAATTATAAATCATCCAGCTATTGGGGTACCCCCATGACTTGAGAACCTCCCAATGGCTGCAAGTTTTAAGCGCGACTCAATGGGAAGCTGCTGAAGGTGATCTTGGAGCTGTAGCTTTGAGTTTGGGTTTGCACATCCCAACGTACCCTCTGGTAAATAAACATAGACCCTTTTTCAATCACCCATTTTTAATGGAAACTAGTCTTCCAACCCCAATGACTGCCAGGGTCCAACTGTTAATTTACCAGGGTAAAATTAAAAAAAAACAAATACAGTCCCTGCAGGGCATCCTCAACACCATCCCTACATTTGCGTTCCAAAAACATGACCACCGCGAGTGTTTTTACAGGTATATGTACATTTACACGGCTAGCATCCCAACCGTACAACATTATGTCCGCAGCTCACAGATAATTTGTCACTTCTATCGGAAATCCAAGTTTTGGGGTACCCAAGACAAACAAATTGGTGGTTTTAAGTTTTTACCACCAAAACACTGCATATTAAGATGGTTTTACCTGTAAAGTGGATGGTTTTACCACAAGAATGGTGGGTTTCACCCGGGCCCCATGGTTTCCAGCAACGACACAACTGGTTGGTGCTGGGTTTCCGTTGCCAGGTCATCGTAGCTGCGAAAAAATGTCCGGTCTCGAGATGTGGGCGGCGTGTGGTGTGATCATGTTAATGACCTAAGGCCCTTGAGGCATAGACTTGGTTTAGACTGTCGTTCCGTGCTGTTGTGGACTCCTCATTCTCCAAGCTCGGTTGATTCCGATTCCGCGGCTTTCTGCAGAACTGCTCAAAGTTAGCAGAAAAGGATCAACCGCTGTCCATCTTTTGTTGCAGTTGGGGTAAGACCCGCAATTTTTGGGACGTTTTGTATATTTTCGGTTTTTGGCCACAAGCAAGGCATGATTCAAAGGTATTCAAAGGTTTGATTCAGTGCAAACACATTAATTTGGTAAACCCAAGAATCAGCACCGCTCATTAAAAAACCATTTGGGGGCTATTACAAATCGTACCACACAAGGGACTCAGTCATGGACCCCCATTGGGGATGGTCTATTGGATTTTCATGGATTTACCACATTAGGCCCTCCGATTGATCGCCATGGGGCAGATCTTTGGGTACGAGGGTCGCATTCATGAAGGCATCCTGCATTGGAGGGTAACTGTTGGTCAGTGCCAAGTGCGGAAGTCCTGGTGTAGTACTGTGGTAATTGGGTTGAAAGTATTGCTGTCATGTATTAGTCATAGCATCCCCCCAAAAAAATATAGAAAAAACGGAGACTTGGGAAATATGGGAACATATCATCAGCAAACATCTCTGGAAACACTTTTCTATTTTGCTTGGTGTTAATATAGTCATCTATTGGTTTTCTATTATATAGTCATCCATTTTTGAGGCGGCCGTGAGTTGATGAGGGTATTGTTCCCATTACCGGTTAAAGCAACAGTGCTGATTTTACCGTAAGTCATTGGTGAAACCTCTGTTATTCTTTTTTCATTAGTGTTTTGTACTGTTTTCTCATGAAGTCTATATTGTTGTTGGTTTTTGCCGGTCGATTTTTTTCCTCTCTCTCTCTCTCTCTTATTCGCCATTTGTTTTTTTCGTGTTGGGTGTTCATTTCCATTGCTAGAACAATCAAAATCCGCTTCCATCTTCGTTAAATCACTGCTTGTATTGTTTCTTGTTGGTTTCACGGTCCGTAGGCCTCCTTTTCCATTTCATTGCTCATGATAAAGAAATTGTGCCATCGCCCTTCATTTTCCCAGTCTACCTTCCATGTTATTATTAGTTATTATCTATACTTCCATTTCGGATGAGACTTCTCATTTGGGGGAGTATTCAAAATCATACCCAACACATCGGGTTTATCATTGGGTTTACCACTTGAGGATGGATCTATTCCATACTTGGGGCTGCAGTTTTCGTCGTAAATTGTTTCATAATCATAATTCTAGGGGCCACGTATCCCAACTTATCGGAGTTAAGTCGAATGGTCATAGCCATTTTTTCTCTAACCCCAAGTGCATCACCAAGTAGGTTATATCTCCGATATTTCCATGGAAAATCCCAAAATGAAGCAGCTTAAATGACCGTCAAATGTTGGATGATGAACATCCCATCAAATCACCAAGAAAAATCCCGCGAAATCACCATTTTCGTTGGTTAAATCATCTAAAATCATCTAAAATCATCTAAAATGCCTATTTTGGTTGGTCAAAAATCACCCGTTTTTTGTTGGAGAATTCATCTGGTTCTTGCTATCACCATTTTCGTTGGTTAAATCGACAGTTTTTGTTGGAACCGAAACGTCCGAGGCATGCAGCTGGCCATCCGAAAAGAGGCGGCGCAGATCTTCTTGAGCGGAAGCTACTTGAAGGTGCCGGCAGTTCACGGCCAGAACTTAACTGTCAAATGAATAGAATTGATAGATATTGATAGGGTTCTTCTTTTTTGTGAAATCAAGTTTATTGTTTTATTGTATAATTATCTATTTATTTCAAGATATTTTAAGATTAGATTCAAACATAAGAGGTATATAAGATTATATAAGTATATAACACTATATACAACTACTTTGATTTATTTTGCATAGAACACATGCAATGTTGTCCTAAAGGGGACTCAATCTTTTGAAACTGTGATTTCAACAACCAAAGCCGGGCAATTGCACAACTTTCAACCAACCAAAAATCGGTTTTAAACAAGAAAACAATCACCAAGAAAGATAGTGGTTGAATCAATATTTTTTCTGCCTGCAAAAACAGGATTTCAAGGATAATAGTAGAGTCTCAACCAACAAAAAGGCGTGTTTTGGCCTTGTCAACAAGCACGAGTATATAGTCTTTTCCAGAAAACGACGGCGTGAAATAGTGTGGACATCCGTTTCTATCTCGAACAAACCCGATGACCTTTGGACAAGAATACGTGCTAAGTTACAAAGACACGGCAGGAGGTTGAAGGGCCTATCATGAAACCATTTTCGGATCCATACCCTACGCCTCTGACTTCATTTTGCTGTTCCTTTTCACGTGGCTTCAATGGTACAATACATTTTGTATTTAACATGCAGTAGACAGAATACATGTACTGCGGGCAACTAACTCTCCTGCTCCGGTGTACAGCAGGTGCACCACACGTGCTACACGTTGCACACATAGCATGCATTTAATGCATGTGCATGCGCCCTTGCGAAAACATTGCCATAGTTGAGCGAATACTTTAGATATACACACACATATTCATATGTTTGTACATATATATATATATGATAATATAATATATATATGATACAGTATGGTATATATATATATGTATTTTATAGTATACATACATACATAATATACACACAATATAATGTATATATGATATATAATATGATATACATGTCTCTATTTGATCTCAGGCGCCTTCACGCTGGGCGGTTTGGACAGGGAAGGAGGCGCTCAGCAAAGTCTGTGAAACGATCCACGAACACCGAGCCCTGGATGTGGCGCTGGTGGACGTTGAACCAAACATGGTGGAGTTTAAACCAACTAAAAATGGGGATTTAATGGAACATCATAGGAAAACCCATAGGAAAATGGTGGTTTTGCCCTCTGGTAAATTAACAGTTGGATCCTGAAAATCATCAATTTTTAGTGGTTTCACTAGTCTTTCAACCCCGATGACTGCCAGGGTCCAACTGTTAATTTCCTGGAGAGTAACAAGCTAAAAATGGGGATTTAACAGGATTAACCATATTTACCGTATTAAACCGTAGTGAACCATATTTAATCAAACAAAAAACATGTGATTTAACCAACAAACATGGTGAGTTCAAGCAAACGAAAGGTGATTTGAGCAGCAAAGATCGGACATTTTACCAAGGAAAACATAGAAAACAAACATGGAACAGAAAAGGAGTTTTGGTCAACAAATGTGAGGATTTAAACGAACACGCGGGTGAAGGGGGAGATTTGAGGGTTTAAGCAAGAACCATGGGGATTGAACCAACAGTGGTAATTTCACCTAGCATACTTTGAGTTTCTAACCATGAACACATGGGAGTTGATTCGGATTTGAACGCCATAGGGATTCGAAACAACGGGGCAAACCCGATGATAAGACCTCAAGGCTTCTTTGGGAACAAAAAAGTGTGGTTTCAGCCATCAACAAAATGCGGATATTGGGACATGAAATAACACCAGCTTATCATCCTTGTGCAACGATGAGCAACATATCGATGAATTTATATTTTCGTATACGCAGTCTATGTATACACACATGGATATAATCAATACCCTCTGGTAAACTAACATAACTATGGAAAATCACCATTTTTCACGGGAAACTCAACGAAATAAATGGTCATTTTCAATAGCAAACTGTAACAAATTACCAGAGGGTAAAGACTTTTTAAGACCAACAACATACTGGAAGACTATCATGAACCATTGCCAAATGGACGGAGCCTGAACATCCACAACGACGAAGGATTTTGGTGTTTAAACCAAGGTACCAGGGTGAACTGATTGATATCCATGTACCCTCTGGTAATTTGTTACATAGCTATTGAAAATGGCCATGGAAATAGTGGATTTACCCATTGAAAATGGTGACTTTCCATAGTTATGTTAGTTTACCAGAGGGTAGGTTTTTGGGCATGTTCTTTCCATCGGACGCACAAAATCGGGTCGTTTATTTTCTTTGGGTAGTACGCGCGTGTGTTAGAGTGGGGGATTGTCAACAAGACATTTTTTCATGAAGAAAATCACATAATGATAATGATAACCCATGAAGTTTTGGGGTAAGTGCCTTGTTTTCAGTGAACCCGTGATACCCTCTGGTTATTTGACAATATAGCTAAGAAAAACGGCTCGTGGATAGATGATAAACATGATGATTTACCTACTGACAATATTAAACAGATGGGGAATTTTCATAGCTGCGTTGAATTACCAGAGGGTGTCGCACACTTGCTTTCACACTCTCATTTTTCCCCCTCGACCCTGAGCATCCGTCAAGTCATTGGGAATTCCATGGGTTCACCATGGCGTCAGGGTTGAGATGCCAAAAAGGAATCTTGGGGAAACCCATCTGGATTTTGCAGGCATCACAGGTGAGTGCAATGTCTGAACATTTTTTTTTTTGAACAACTTCCCAACCCCCTTGGTTTATCGCGATTCTCCCCAATGAAATAGCCGTGAATTGGGGCGGACATCATATTTGGACAAACCCTTGTGGACCAACCCCTGGAAGAAAAGGTTGTAAATGGGGATGCCAAAGCGCCACTTCTATTGTTCCCATTCCAGGACATGATTTTGTACTTGTACATGATATGTACTTGCAGGTGCTCCCATTTTATTCTCAATGATACATTTGGTACTATGAAGTATAAACATATATCATTGACATCCTCATCCCATTTTTAATCATTGAGACAACATGCACCATCATATCCATTCTCAAGTCTCAGGTTGCTATCCCTAACTCGTATCCCCAGTTCTTGGCATGACACCATTGGATACCATTGGTACATCCACGTGTTGCTCCACAGGACAAGAACCGACCATGCACGAGCTCTTCCGCAAGACTGCGGAGGCACTGCCCTTGAAGTATCCCTTAGGCGCCCGGCATGCGGAGGATGTGGACCCCCTAGTCTGGCGGTCCCCATACTAAAATGAGCCATGAAAAATACCATTGTTGATTGGGCAACTATAGGGGGTTGTACTACGTAATTAATTGATGATTACTATAGCCCACAATGACTTAAACTGACTGGTGCAAAAATGACTTACAGCACACTTAAGCCATGTCCCAAATGTCCCCCAGGAGAAAAAATCATCCAATGAAATCCTTGGAGATGCGTTGACACGACATGCGGTTCTTTGAATTCGCCAAGCTCATTGCTGGGCTACAGTGGGATATACCCCACTTACTAGCCACAGATCTTGAGGAGAATCCAAACCTTTCAAGCAGTGGTTGTTTAATTGGTTTTGTTTGGAAATCCCCTTGTTCGGAAGTCCCTGGTTGGTGTTTTGGAACATTAATGGATTATTTTTCCATGTATTGGGAATGAGAAGCCCAACTGACTCATATTTTTCAGAGGAGTTGAAACCACCAACCAGTTCCGCTTCAACATTAAACCATTGACCTTTGGCAGTTACATTGCTCACCCCATTTGTTTGCTGAGGACCTACTTATCACCAATTTCTGTTTCCTTCGTGCTGATGGAATTCCATGTTTTCTGGCTAGTAACATCTCTTATTTGGTCCCATTGGTTATATGCATGTAAATATGTCTGTCTGTCTGTCTGTCTGTCTGTCGGTCGGTCGGTCGGTCTGTCGGTCTGTCTGTCTGTCTGTCTGTCTCTCTCTCTCTCTCTCTCTCTCCCTCGCCCCCCCAACCCCCAAAAAGATAGAACAGTCAATTTGTACTCAAATAGTGACGAATCAGGGGGCGACACCTTAGCGCTCTGCGACCTGCGTGGCTGCCGGACTGTGGCAGATGTGACGTGCATCTTCCTACAGCGTGACTTGGCGTGGCATCTTTCGTTGGAAATGGGATGGTTAAACAGCAAAAAATAGGACTGAATTATCTAGACACGGGGATTTAAGCAACCTTAAATTGGGATTTACGTATTTTAATAGCGGAATTTTACCAACCAAAATGAGGATTTAAGCAATAAAGATGTGATGGTTAACCAAGGAAAATGTGGATTAACCATGTTTCCTTGCAGGTAAAAGTTGGACTTGGTGAACTGCTTAGTACCTCTGTGACTTGAGGCATTGTGGCGGAGCATCTCCTGCGAGCGGCTTGGTGAAGTCAGCGAGTAAAAAGGGGCGGTGTTTGATCAAAAAGGGACGGTTGGACTCTCAAACGATTTGATTTCGCTGGTTTTTGGGAAATTATGCGATGATTCTGTTTTTTTAAACATGTGGTTTGACTCCCAAAAATAGAGATTTGATTGGATTTGATTTCAATAAGATGTTTGAAAGTCTAACGGGGCTTTATAAATGAAGACCTTTTCAACAGACGGGGATATGGGTTCTCTAGAAACGAGGAATGGAGCCGCTTGGCCATTGGTAATAATTGGGGTTCCCTCCAATCAATGGGAGATCTCCAGGATCCTAAATTGGAGGTACTGTGCCATATAAGATATATAAGATTACATAAGGCCATATTTTGTGGGGATATTCCTTGAAATTTAGGCCTTATATATGGAATCGGTACCTCCAATTTTATCGGTTCCTGAGTCATGGCCATTGAAGAATATCCATATTATATCACATTATCCTATTATATCCCACAAATTTGCTGGTAAAACTCCCTATTAATGGTTTGGTTGACGTACCCTCCGGTAATCAAACATGGCAAGTGGATTTCCCGAGAAAGTGGAGGTTTCTGGCTTCTGGCATAATCATGGAACTGGTGAATTTTCTAGCCAAGATTGATTACCAGGCCGGGTACCCTCTGGTAATTTAACATAGCGAACTGGAAAATCACCATTTTATAGCTGGTAAATCCACTATTTCGACTGGGCCATGGCTTCAATAGCTTTGTTAGTATGTTTACCAGGCCGGGTCATCCAGAGAAATCAGAGCTGGTGTTCAAGTTCGCCCGAAGATCCTGGGTGTCACCTGAGAAGGGCGGTTGGTTAAATCCCCTATGACATCATATGAAATACCCCAGTTATATATGTCAAATGGATTGGTTGAAGGGTCAATTTTTTTCAGGAAAACTCCATATTTGGGAAAATCTATGGTTTCCCGTTAAGATTTCAACCAATCCATTGAATATGAGAGATCTCCATCTGGGGGTTCTAAGCCACGGACCCCGGTGCCGTGCTTAGGAAGCTGATCGCAGACTTTGGTCGGTGGCACGCAAGCAGCATGGAGCCGGGGGGACCGGGGAAAAGGTGAATGGTACCATCGTTGAAGCGATGAAGCGTGGGGAATTTCATGTTTAATATGGATTAATATGGTATATAGTGAATAAGATAACTAATTTTCACCAATAATAACACAGTGTTTAATGGGGTAATATAGTGGGTAAGATAACTGATAACAATAGTGGATAGTTAGTTGATAGTCAATGGATAGTGAATGGATAGTTGAATTAGCAAAAACATGGGGGCCAATGGATTGAATGGTTGAATCCGTGTTTGTTCATGTTGAAAACAAGGATTCAACTGATCGAAAAAGGGAATTCAGCTAGTAATCGTGGGGAGCCAACCAATATTTGCGAATATGGATTTTTTTTTTCGAACATGTTCACCAAATCCACTGGAAACATCATGTAGTTGATGGTTAAGTCCTCATTCTCAGACAGACCCATAGAATCCCATAGAGCCAATATCCAAATATAGTAGAGTCCCATAATGTCCAATTATTTTCACATTTTGCTCACATATATTTGTTCACAATTTTTGCTGGTAAATCACATATACAGCTGAAACTTGGGGTGTGTTGTGGGTACATTTTGCTCGTATGAAACGAACTTGGAAATAATGAGTAGATGATGGGGGTCTATTCTCATAGTTTGTTGAGAATGGCCATTCCATGTTTTACGATAAGGTCGGAAACTGAAGTCGATTGATCATTTTCATGCATTTACAATGGGCTTTGACCAATCAATTCCGGGAATATATAAGCAGTGCGGCAAACCATCTGCCCATCTTGCCTCCGAGCTAAGAATGCTAGAAACCTAGATGGGTTTGTCTGGAAATAGAGTAATTACCCGAAAATCATGATCTCCATTCAAGTTGCTATTTGGGGCATCCCCTATTTAGAGAACCTCGGCAGAGGACAATCTTTGGGTAACCTCCAGCACCGTTTCCATGGAACCGGTAGCCATAACCAAACGTAGCCATCAACGAAGTGGGGAAAAATTAGGATCAACAATTAGGATTTGGTTTACCTCTCGGACCTACACTGACTTAGATGGTGCACTTACGTTCAAAATGCAGGAAGACAGCCAGAAGAACCTGTTGAATTCAAATTGCTGCCGGAAGTGCTGGGAAAGAGATTTCATGCAGTAAACCCCAAAGTATAAACCATGTAAACCATCTCCGTTACCAGAAATGGATGGTACCATCTTGATTGGAAGCAGCAGGAGCTGTGACGCCTCTGTGTTGGGGCCTCTCATATGTGACCTGCACCTGTTGTTGCTTGCAACGAGACGCAAAGGGAGAGTGACGGAGATTTCAACTGGGAGAATTTTCTGATTCTCCGGGAATCATAGCAAGTACCATCATACGGCCTTTTAAGGGGAACAAATCCAACAGTAAACGAGGATCCAACAGGCCCAACAGGTATACAATTCCACGGGATCCAACAGGGCTCACCCACCAACAGACTGAGGCAGCTGGGCCAGCTATTCTCCAGTCATTGTTAAGTGATGAAATGCTTATTTTTGCTTGGCGAAATGAGGGTAAACCATGGTAAACCATCAAACATATTTTTTTGGGGTATCCGATTGGACCAAGCCACTTGTATTTACCCTCATGATTCGATAGTACCACCATTTCTTTGTCCATTGGACCAGAAAAAACCAGTTATTACCCCCAAACTGGATGGTCCCGTCTTGTGGGAAATACAATGTTCATCAATTGATGTTCATCAACATTTGATTTCCCAAGATCACCCGCCCGGAGTCGGGTCCAAACACGCTATGGCCCTCCGTGGTTCTCAGGCTGTGTAGGGCAGTACGAGCAGATGGTGAAGTTTCCCCTGGGCGGCTGCGCCTGCAGCCCCAAACACACCAGCCCATCGCGCACGGACGCTGGGAGTTTTGGTCAAGTCGCCCAGTGGCTGAATTGTGTCATTTTTGTTGCTATTCAAACAGGGATACTGAAGAAAAATAGTAAGAATATGTAAGAAATGAAGCTGAAGCAGATTTCAGAAGCAACAAAAGAGACCGGCTCTGATTTCCCCGGGTGAGAAAATCATTGGGACAGAGCTCAGCATGGTACATTCGGATTCCAGCACGATTGTCATCGAGAATCCGTTATTTTTCTCAGGGGTAAGAAACTGAATCAACTGAGTGAAGTGAACTTTGCTCGGAGTCGGGCTTTTCACAGCAAATCTTTGATTTGGTAACTTGTTTTTTGTTTGTCAATTGCCAATTCCACCATTTTTCGTGCGCAACCTTGGATGGCAAAAGTACTCGATGAGGATAGCTTTGTCAGTATCATACATGGGGATATAGTAGCTGTATGGTAAACTTAGATGTAATGAGCTTCTATGAACTTGCTTTTGGCTCGCATCGCCAATTTAAAAAACATGCTGAGTATATACAAAGTGGCCCGCAGGTATAAGTTTGTTTAGAGCCGTGTCTGTTTATATATATATATATTCACCATAAAGGCAGACGCTAGCCTAACCATAAACCCAACTTACGTATCATGAATAATTAAAGGACCGGATAACCCCACATGTTACCAACTTCTTTAGACTTAGACTGAGCAGAGAAAGCGAGAAGGGAAGAGGAAGTATGAGAGTGATGGAGGGACGATGGTGGTATGTATGTAGGTATGTATGTAGGTAGGTGAGTTTGTGTGTGTGTGTGTGGGGAACAAACTGTTGGTGTGCCTGACATATTCAACACCATATTATGTTTAACACACATTCAAAACAACCTCAGGCCAGCACCTCGCAACCCAAGACCTTGGCTCCTAAGGCGCTTTGCGTTAGGTCAAACAGGCCGGTATATCAAACATGCCAGGCCGACGTCAAAACATGCCAGGGAGACATCTAAAGCTGAAACTGAATGGAGTGAACCAAGTATGTCAATCTATCTATCTCTCTATCTATCTATCTATTTATCTATCTATGTAACATCTATGTAACAATCTATCTATCTATTCTGTGCACGTCGAACATGTTGCAAACAGGCCAAGCTACACCGAGCAGTCTGACACACGTCAAACAGGCCGGTATATCAAACATGCCAGGCCGACGTCAAAACATGCCAGGGAGACGGCAAAGCTGAAACTGAATGGAGTGAACCAAGTATGTCAATCTATCTATGTCTCTATCTGTCTATCTATCTATTTATCTATCTATGTAACATCTATGTAACAATCTATTTATCTATCTACCTATCTATCTGTCTATGCATCCATCCATCTATGTCTCTATCTCTCCATCCATCCATCTATCTATGTCTCTCTCTCTCTCTCTCCCTATCTCTCTATCTATCTATCTATCTATCAATCCATCTATCTATCTATCTATCGATCGATCTATCTGTCTATCTATCCGTGCATCCATCCATCAATCAATCCATCTATCTATTTCTCTCTCTCTATCTATCTATCTATCTATCTATGATCGACGGCTAGTCAATCTACATACTATGATACATGTATGTGAATTTGTGATTTGCTTGTGGAGCTACAATGTGGCACACAGTGGTCGAGGACAATGCTCAGATACGATGACTAGATGATACTTAACAGCACTCTTACATCAAACCGTTTCTCGCCTTGATCATCAGGCAACTTCATTCTTCAGGATCTGCATCATATGCATTGTCGTGCGCGTGTGCGCGTGTGCGCGTGTGCACGTGTGCGCGTGGGTGTGTGTGTGTGAGTGAGTGAGTGAGTGAGTGAGTGAGTGTGGTTGTGTGAGAGCTATCTATCTATCCATCTATCCATCCATCCATCCATCGATCTTTGTGTGTATGTGTGTGATTGAGAGTGTCAGTGAGTGAGTGAGTAAGTGACGGAGTGAGTGTGAGGAGTGAGAGTGAGAGAGTAAGGGAGAGTGAGTGAGTGAGTGCCAAGGGACGCCAAAGCATACATCCGAACCAACATGTCAAGAATCCGACCCCTTGGCAGTGCACATTGAATTGTCCCACGCCTGCCACGCAAAAGAGGCGGAGCCCGAGGGACGCCAGGGCGTACATCCGACCCCTTGGCAGTGCACATTGTCCCACGCCTGCCACGCAAACGACGCGGAGCCCGAGGGACGCCAGGGCGTGCATCCCACCCCTTGGCAGTGCACAGTGTGCCACGCCTGCCACGCAAAAGAGGCGACATTGTGCCACGCCTGCCACGCAAAAGAGGCGGAGCCCGAGGGACGCCAGGGCGTACATCCGACCCCTTGGCAGTGCACATTGTCCCACGCCTGCCACGCAAAAGACGCGGAGCCCGAGGGACGCCAGGGCGTACATCCGACCCCTTGGCAGTGCACATTGTCCCACGCCTGCCACGCAAAAGAGGCGGAGCCCGAGGGACGCCAGGGCGTACATCCGACCCCTTGGCAGTGCACATTGTCCCACGCCTGCCACGCAAAAGAAGCGGAGCCCCAAGGGACGCCAGGGCGTACATCAGACCCCTTAGCAATGCACATTGTCCCACGCCTGCCACGCAAAAGAGGCGGAGCCCGAGGGACGCCAGTCGTCCACATCCTCCCCCTTGGCAGTGCAACATTGTCCCCCCACGCCTGCCTTACGCAAAAGAGGCGGAGCCCGAGGGAAGCCAGGGCGTACATCCGACCCCTTGGCAGTGCACATTGTCCCACGCCTGCCACGCAAAAGAGGCGGAGCCCGAGGGACGCCAGGGCGTACATCCGACCCCTTGGCTGCTCACATTGTCCCACGCCTGCCACGCAAACGACGCGGAGCCCGAGGGACGCCAGGGCGTACATCCGACCCCTTGGCAGTGCACATTGTCCCACGCCTGCCACGCAAAAGAGGCGGAGCCCGAGGGACGCCAGGGCATACATCCACCCCTTGGCAGTGGGCGTACATCCGACCCCTTGGCAGTGCACATTGTCCCACGCCTGCCACGCAAAAGAGGCGGAGCCCGAGGGACGCCAGGGAAGTGAGTGAGTGTTTGTGTGTATGTGAGTGAGTGAGTGAGTGAGTGAGTGAGTGAGTGAGTGAGAGTGTGTGTGAGTGAGTGAGTGAGTGAGTGAGTGAGTGTGTGTGTGTGAGTGAGTGAGTGAGTGATTTGAGTGTGTG